TAAAATAAATTATCAAACCTTTGAGAATATAAGTTTTTAAGTCAAAACTATTCTATAATAATTACTGCTTAAATAAAAGTTTAAATATTCCAGTATGGAAATATTTAAAATTAAATTTTACAATTTATACAAGAAAATAACACTTATTAGATCAAATAACAATGAAAATTAAATATTTTATGTTTATGTACAACTTTCTTTTACTATCGTAATATATTATACATAATTTGTAACCTTGAATTTCAGTTATAGGCTAAATGACAATAATTCATTTTTACGGCATTTTCTTCAAAAGCAGAACAATAATAAAATAAATATTTAGGACTTATCCCAGGCTTATACTTTATACTACACAGCAACTAAACATAAAACATAATTCTTGACTATACTGAATCAACCTTTGGTCCAGGCGAACCATGTATAACATAAATCCATTCAACATAATATTATATAGGGGATTTTGATATTAGGTATAGGTACTCTCTGACTCCACATATAATACGTGACGTGAGGCGTTATCCCCGATACAATGAAAACCTGCTGTGCAATATATAAATAAAACGAACCGTGGTCAGAGTGAAAAGTATAATTTATTACGTTTTGAATTTGTTACGAAAAATAAGACGTTAATAAGATGAATCGAATTGTATGGAATATTATGTATTAGAATACGACGAAGACAGCTGGAGTTTGAACAATAATAATAATAATAATAATAATACCGCGAATTTTATTTCGAATATTACTTTTTAAGATGTATGGGTGGTGTGCGTGTGTGTGTGTTTGTGCAGTGAATATTTTTTTTTATTTACTTTAGAGCTATTTTGTATTAGTTGTTCGGTCGAACAATGACTAGGTGGAGTGCCTTTTGCTTCTCTGTTCTTTGTCGAATGCCTTCTCTGCTGGTCCCTTTGATACCATTTCAAGTTGTATGTTTTCACTGATGATGTGCTGTGCACAGCTGGATCGCTGCCAGTGCGGCCATAACCTATAGGTATATATATTAAAAGAAAAATTGACAATTTGTCATCAGGCCACAGGCTACAGAATGCGTGGTCGTTCTGCACCAGATGCGTGTGCATATAATGTGTTATGTGGACGCGGTTTATAATAATAATATATTGTATTATGTAGCTTATAAAATGATGCGATTCGTGTTTATTATGTTTAGGTACCCAATTTTTTTGCCCTTTTTGTCCTGCCCGGCGAGGCCGTTGGTGACTCCGACGTAGATGGCCGGCAAGAGATCAATATGAAAGCAGCTGCCCTGGCAGCTCCAACCCTGTTGGTCTCATCGTCTTTGGCCTCCGATTGACCGACACTACTCTCATCTTCTTGTTGGCCATTGGCCGCCGCAGAGTCTGACGTGCCGTAATGTTTGCTCGAAGATGCCTCTGTAAACACGGGGCGAAATTAAAATGTCACAGAAAAATATACTTGCAAATCCTGCGATGAACAGGTTGAATTCACCATATATTCGTTTTATCACACGTATACAATTTTTTTTTTAGGTTTGTTAGTATTTTAAGACCTGCATTTTACTCAAAACATTCATTAATTTTTCCTACCGTGAAATCTATTGGAGTAGTTTTGTGAAGCATATAGGAGCGCTATAAAAAGTTTTTACGCGCTGTTTGGACAAAACGACCGCAGATTTCTACTATTATATTAGGTACTGTGTTTAGAATCGGCATAATGAAGTACTTCAGGAAAACGTCGCAACTGCAATATTCAAAGTATTCATAATAATAAATCTTAGCTAATAATTATATTATGACCAAACTTTCAATCGTATTAAAAAACTAGATAATTAAATCTCAAATGTTTTGAGTAGTTTAACGGTTCATAACTAACTATATTTGTTGTAAGTTTTTTGACATGGCAAACGGAAGTCATATGATGTCAAAAACTTTACTTAAATTAATGAAACGCATAATAAACTAAGAAATGAATATATCTCTAACAAATAAAAATATAATAAATGAACAGAAGCGGTAATGACTAGGATAATGTAATTTACTAACTAAAAATAAAAATATTTTTTATCATTGGTCCCATTAATGTTAATAATTTCAAGTGCTTATTGCTGTACCTRTCACTTATCAGGCCTTWAGTTAGACATGTAGGAAAACCTTGAAAATGACTATCGAGATATCTACTAGGTACTCAATATTCATACTATCATACATTTATATAAAATACATAATATAACTTATAACTATACGAGTACACTGCGCGTATTAATAATATAAACACCCTCTATAATATGTTAACTTTTAAAAAGATAGAATAAAATTTTTAAAAATTCAATCAAAATATTTTATACCATAATAGTGTTCTATATTCGGTGAAAATGTCTAGCTTAAAAGAAAGTTGTTTGTAAGGTACTTATTTAYAGTGAAACTGTTTTAAGTTGCACGGTGTACCTATAGTGCACACTTTTTATACGAATGTTTAGATATCATTATATCTACGTTTATAGTAATTCGTTTTCGATGAAATGTTATTCAAGTTTCGACGTATACGGTTCAATGTRGGCGAATATACGGCGAGTGGAGGTACTTATACTGGGCAGGTATAAATTTAGACAACAATATACAACAACGCAACGGTTGACGGCGCGTGGCGTGATGAATGAAAACTCATAGAAACGAAATAATAATCTATAAGGGGAAAAAGACGCAGTTTACCTATTTTACCCGCGAAACGAATAAATTCAGGTCCACGAAACGGTGTTGGCGAGGTGGAAAAAAATAAATAACAGCAGAGAAAACAGAGTTGATCGTTCATCACTGTCTCCACCCGCGCCCACTTTCATCGCGACGACCCGACCACCACTGTACCGCACCGACCGTTTACAATTACTAACGGYGTGCTACGGTGGAGATATATAGAGTGGTAGTATATAGGGAGGGCACACAGGCACACACATAAATATATATGTATGTGTGTGTAATAGTACTATAAATAGAGCCGATTGCTGGTCGTTGGCCGATGATGATCGTTGCCATTACGTGAGAGGGTTGTAAACACGCGTCAGAATGGTACAGTTCATGAATTAATTCACGCAGGTAGACGCACGTTTAATACGTGAATCCGTGTAAATATATAGGTACGTATGTACATGAACATATATTACATAACCCATGTATAGGTACCTATCTATAATACAGAGTGTGCAGTATAGTGTATAGGTACGCGTGGGCTGCTGTAGACGAGGGAGAGACGTCACGGCCCACTCTGTATAATGCTGTATGCGTAGGTACGTAGTTCGTATTATATACATAAACACGATAGGTAGGCGGGAATACCAGGTGGCCTCTTTCCGACCGAGTGCTGCCCTCATCCCTCGAGTCTTATCCACCGGCGGGGGAGGAACATCGACCACCCCCACATCATCGACCGGTGCGCGCGCACACACAGACACAGTCACACACACACACATACACGCGTCACGCCAAAAATCGATAAAAGGCGACCTACTAGTTTGACGTGAGCACAGCAGCTTGTTCGGATATAAGTTGGTGGTCGGGAAATGCCGAGGTCTGGAKGCCGTGGACAGGCGCAGCCCGAAACAGATGAGCGCCGAGAACACTAGCAGGCCGACCACGACGCCGAGCAGCGACGAACCGCCAGCTTTGCCGTCCGAATCGTCTGCAAGATGACAACAACAAACATAAACCAAAATAACATWATAATGTATTTACACTCAGTTACAAAAATACATCGTACGATTATAATAAAATACACCCRAAAATACTAGGTCGCTTAGGTACTTTACTTTACTTTACGTCCTGCACTACATCAAAATATGTGTGTTCGCACGTGGTACATACAATTAAAATATATTATGTATTCATTGTACATATGTTTACCAATAACGTATYAAAACGTAAATCATTTTCGGTATTCGTCTTCATATTATTATTAGGTATATTATATTATGACCATACGAAATAAGGTTATAAGTACATAATAATATATAATAATACATCATATAAATAAACACGCACCTTGGGCGCAAAAACTGCTCCTGGCGTTGGTAGGCCTGGAAACGGTAACGATGTGGTAGCCCTGTTTGCACTTGCATATTGCGTTGTGGTCCACCTGTGCGCACACCGCGTGCTTGTCATGCAACTGACACGTGTCGTCTTGGAAACACTGATCTCCCAACCCTGCAATCACACAGACGGAACCATATTAAAGTATMTATTCTCGTATTATACGTAAATAAGACGGTAATATAGTCAATTTTGAATTTTCCATAACTAAGTTGTTATAATATCGAATATCCTGCTCAATAATATCATATTGTTCGGATAATATTTACTAACTTTTATATTTGAATTTCCCGCCCAAAACACGGTCACGGTGTTATATTATTGTTGACCTAAAAACCTATTCTTTTGTATGAGAATTAATCGAACACCAAACGTGTGCTGTATAACATATTAAACTTTGATATATATTTAACGCAATATCTATCTTGATTTCAAAAAAATAGTGTATTTATATACATTTACACGAAAAAAATTAAAGTGGGTAGRTACACTGTAGTATAGTATACACTATAATAAATAATAATATAATGACTGGTGATAATATAACCTAATTGTTCGTATRCCACAATTCAAAATTGTACATTGTACTTTAWAACCATGTCGGAAAGAAAAAAATGTTTAGCAAGGTCCTAAAAATTAAAATAATGTTAGTTGATTTTAAACTATCGAAATTTCAATTAAGTACTGCTAAAATCAGATGTAATCATTATCTAAATATACTACCAAGGTACCTGTATCACTAAAACGATGTTTTAAATTCAATTTTTCTTTTATTTTGTTACATTTTATATTTATATACGAACCAAATTTACAAAATATTAGAGAATTTTGATTTTTTTTTTTTTATTAAATTAAAGTGTTTCTGACATACAAGGTCATCTAACTTATTGATATAATAAAGAATTTTTAAYATCATTAAGTTGTTAAGCGTAAATTAATTACAATATATACAGTAAATTGAGAATTTTGATAAATTACATATTTTTTAAATTTCTGTGTTTAGAAAAATGTTTGCTCAAACACAAAGCAAAGAAAAACAATTTAATTTAATTATTCATTTTATGAATAATAATTTTATAATCAAATTAAATAATATTGATTTCGTTTAAATGATTAACTTTTTTTTTTWAAACATAATCAATGCATGTTGAATGAACTTCATAACCAACAAATTAATCTTTTCAWTTTCATTTAGATATTTATCACTAAATAAAAATAAAGTAATATTGTTTTAATCGGGTTATGATACTTAGAAATGTTCTCTACAAATACCTATTATCTGCATCTTGAAAGTGATTTAATAGAAACGAATCAACATTCAGAAATTAAAAATCAAATATGTTATAATAATATAATTACATAGTTATGTCAATGGAAATAATAATGTAAAGAAATACTCGTATTTAGGAATAGACAAAAATATTAATGTAAATAAAACTTCTATTAATTTTTATTTTTTTGAAATTTAATAATATAAAATACAACCTTATATTGTAGTTATATATAAGTTTATTTATGTATCAATTTATTGTATTTTGTATTTTTAGTATAAATTAATAACCATCTGTTTCCAACATAAGTCTGGATTATAGAAATAGAAAGTAGATACTTCAATTGTTTATTATTTTATATATATTTTACGTGTTGTTTAATAAATGGTTAATAATTGATGAAAAATRTATTCCTGATAAAAATAAATAAATAATAATAATATGCTATAATTTATATTATTTGTTTAAACATTGAAACCCTTCAATTTATTTGCTTATTTAAGTTCATATTCATCATCACAAGTATTATATTTACTTTGTCTTGTAATCAATAAAAACTTGTTGGAATGTACATAATACGGTAAATTTAATCAGTTAAGCCATATTCTCTTAATGTGTATCATTATAATTTTATACCCTAAAGACTAAAATATAATATTAAAAAGAGTAAAATGAATATATTATTATAATAATTAGTAAATAAGTAAAATTATAAATATTTACAACAAAATATAATGAATACCTACTAAAACTAAGACATATTTATATACTGTATATTTAAGATACTAAGCAGAGTAATAATGAATGTATATTTTTTTTTGTTATACAGTATTAATTTCCAAAGCTAAGACTAAAAAATGTTTTGTTTTGATTGTAATTTATATTGTTTAAAATGTTCACATAAACATTGTTCAAAAATAAAACTTGAAGCATTAAACTTCAGTTAGGTTGTAATTAATGTTTTATTTTAAGCTATCTTACAAAATTCGCCAAACAGTATTTGTGAATTGGAAGCGTATTAGTAAAAAATTAATTCAAATACAATACGTAGGTATAATACGTAATTACGTATCATAACCATTTAGCATACATTGAAAATTAGGAATTTATGACTTTATTGGACCAAATACGGCTTACAAATATAATGCTTTATAAAAATATTAATATTATAATAAAAATAAATGATGGATGAGATTATGATAGTATGATAATAATAATAATAATTTATTAATCATAACTTGTTAGTCGTTATAGCTAAATAATATTACATATTAATATCTATATTACCTAATACACTGTTATTGTACACATGTACGTATCAAAATTGCCTATTTTATGCGCCGTCATACAAATGTTATTATGTATAATTAAAAGCTAGTTGTTACGGCCTTTTAAAATATTGTTTAAAGTGTTAGGAATCAATAAAAATACTTATTATATTTATGATTACGCAAACACATCATAGGTAGTGAAATATGTTAACTGTGCAAAATTACAAAACAGTGCTACAATATGCACATAACAATATTAAAAAAAAAAAATTTATAATATTCAATCATCGCTCGATTTGTATTATATTAATTTTTTTGTTTTTGGAGCAATAATTTGTAACGATTGGAATTCGAACAATTCGTAAAAGAAAAAAATCATCTATCCAATATCACTACGTTTACACTGCCACGCGCATTTATTGAAACGACGCAAAATGTGATATATATATATATATATATTATATATATATAAGGTGAATAAATGCAAAAACGTTTTTTCCGCCGTGGCATACATAGATTAAACAGTTGCGTCAGTTGGTGCCCGTTGTTTTTTTCACATCGATTTTTTATATATTTTATTTTCATATCCCCTCGTTATCGGCTTACACTTACACTACACAAATATTGTCGCATTAACGTTTCTAAACTTAGGTTACATCTATTGTTCGCAAAAATTATTCAGTGAAGATGGATATTTTTAAATTACTGTCTAAAAAACAAAATACATACACGGATTTTTTTAATAAATTGTTTTATGATCATAAAACGGGTTTATTTTCACGATAAATACATATGCTATTTTATTACAGTTTAAAATTATAAGCATTTACTATAATTGTAGTTGAGCAATATGGCACAATGTGCATGGTGCTCCATATAACTGTGGTATATTATACTCATCTAAACTTTTAATAACTTAACTTAATTTTAACTTTTGACCATAGTAAACATTCAAAAAAAGTAAACATCTACGAATTGATAAATTATAGATATAAAATTGATATGTATTATACACCTATATATGATTTTTTTAAATTTGTTTTTTTGGTTTGATGATTTATTCAAATAAAATAATATGTATTCAAAAACACAAAACTGTATTAAAAAAAAAAAGATTATTAAATAGTATAAGTGTTATATCTGTTACACTTCTCTAAAAGTCTTAAATGTAAATGTTGCAAGTACATAAATTCTAGTGGAAAACTTTGCCTATTTTCTCATTTAGCCACTTAAATATGTGGAACATGTAGTTCAGAACATTTTCAAACACAAAACAGCGAGGTAGTAATATTTTAGTAATTACGTTTTATCATTTAAATGGCGGAAAATCGTTTACGTGCATAATAATGATTATGACACTGTTAAAGTTTTCTATAGGTACATACCAATAATATAAATGGACTATAAAATATTAACATATATGTAGGTATAATTACGTGCGTGACGTGACATGCAGTTTAACGTATATTTTATCGATCATTGAGTATTTCATATTATTGAACACAAGAAACTTATGTTAAAGTAACATCGCTTACAGGTTTCTGATGAAAAACTATTAAACAAAGTATAAATGAATAAAATATATACAATGTAAACTGTAAAGTAATTMAATTTTAATATATATTTTAGCGATGTCATAGTTTATGAATAAATAACAATTTTAAATGGGTTGGTTCATAATTTGCAATAGTTTATTTAATTTTTAAGCACCTAGCTATAGTTAATTTGAAAAGAATACTTGATTAAAAGTTATAAGCAATAACTATATTATTTCAAGTCAATTCAATGAATATATTAGAAATACAAAATAGGCAACACAATATATTTCTATAAAAGATTTAGAGAAACTTATTCAGTTATAACCCATTATTTACTTACAAAAACTTAAAACGGTGTTATAATATATACATTTTTTTTAAATTCATGGTTAAGCATCAACAGCTATGGTTTTTAGCTTAAATTTATATAAATATTAGTTATAATTAACAATAAATACATAGAATTCACTAGATTGAATTATACATATCAATACGTTTGAGAACTAAAATAATTCTATGGCTGATTTCGTAAATGGGCTACAGCGCTTCGAATAAATTAATATACATTTTAAGCTACAAGATGTAACTAAACGATTATTTTTAAATATCTTTTCAAATGAATCATATTAGGTAAATTTTTTAAAAATGGAAATTACATTTTTTTATAGTCTGCATATATTTTATAACGTTAAAATTAAATTAATAACAATATCAATCTAACACTCAAATCTAAAAATTAAATTATGAATGTACCTTACTAAATAATAATTACTGTTTTGTAAATTGAGCTTATATTAATAAAAATACAACCTAATTATATATTTGAGAGTAACTATAGCTCAAATCAAAAATTATATGAAATTATTTATTTGATATAAAAGAATCTATGTTTGGCGAAAAACACGTCACATATCCCAACGAAAATCATTCAGGTTATTTGTGCATTCCCATTTCCCACTTGTTGCCCTGATTTAATGGAACCGATCTCAATTTGGCGAGGTGATGAAAAAAGATGCACACAATCAGCGGGTTCT